ACTAGAGTGAAAAGTTGTAATCAATTTATATTTTTTTCCTCAGATTAGTTCATTTTAAATGGTGTGCAGTAATATGAATCTATTTTTGGGGTGTGTGGTAAAATTTCTTTGGCCTTGAAAATATTGCATCACCGTGATTGCCTCAGGTTTTTATCACTCCCAGAGAATATTATCTTGACTATCGATATATATATATATATATATATATATATATATATATATATATATATATGAAATATGACCCAGTGCACATTCCACGAATTCGTCCCTTAGATTGACCACAGATTCTCGATTGGATTTAAATCAGGAGAGATTTGGTGCCAGTATATAGTAGTTTGATTTGCTCACTGGTAAGGCTTGCCAGTGTGTTCGTGCAGCATTATAAATTTTGTACGCTTACTTGGAGTAACGCCCATCATAGACATTGGCCATAGGACAACTAATCGACAGTTGAGAGAATCGTGTTTGGGCGCGATGAAAATTTGATTCAATAACGGACGACGCAATATTTTTCAAGGCCAAAAAATTCCATCATACATCCCAAAAATAATGTCATATTACTGCACTCTACTGCAAATGACCTAATCTGAAGAAAAAATAGAAATCAATTACACCCTGTCACATGAGTGGGTCTAAACCTGACCGTATGTTGAAAGAAAGGAAACTAAAACAATTGTATCTGTCTATATATCTGAGATAAGGTATTATGTACATTATTTACATTATTCGGACTATTGTCCCCATCTTTGTCGCTATATTTATAACAACGTGTCGGCCGTTGTAGGCTCTGGCCTTCTTCAAGGACACATGGCACAGTAGATAAAGGCGTTAGTTAGATCCAATGACAGAACCCAAAAAGTGTGAGTTCAATACCCGGCTAAGGCAGTGGAGAACTTTCAGAAGGAAATTGACAGAAGATAACTGATAACTGACATCCATTAAAAATGGCACGTGGAACTAGAACAGTCTACCCCAGTGAGCGAAATAAAGGGTTCCAACTACCTGAAGAAGGCCGGAGCGTACAACGGCCGAAACGTTGTAATAAATATGGCGACTATAGCGAATAAAACGGTGACTTACCTCGTTAAAGCAAGCGGCAGCACGTTGCATGTTGCTTACGACGGAAAATGTGGCGAAAATGAAAATTACTTACCAAAAAAAAGGGGGGGCACGTTTTCTGCATGGCATGCTGAAGACGAAATATTTAAATTAAAAACAAGTCCGTCGCAGTAGTCGCTATAAAAGTATTTTGATATGCAAAAATTGGGCGTCCTCTCCCATTTGTCGACGAATGAAAAAAATGCTCGGCGGAATATAAGCAGTTGGTGTTCTCGAATCGGGAGAAAACGTCGTGTATTTTGGTTACCGCGTTCGTCAGAGAGTGAATTATTTTTCTGACTGGTTACGTGCATTGAGATAGTACCTGCGAATCGAGTTTTCGGAATTTCTTTCTGCCTCCCGATATTCGAGTTTGAACTTACAGTGATTTATTCTCTGCGTTGTGGAATTAATCTGCGACAAATATTTCCTTTGCTTTCAGAACGATTACATCGACAAAGATGAGGACATTAGTCCGAATAATGTAAATAATGTAAAGCAATTGCTTCAATTAATTTGCACAATGGCGCATATTTACCAATGATATGAAAATCCTCTTAGGCAGGTTGTTAATATGTCGAAAATTTTTGTAATATAACGATCTCTAGAAACAAGATAGATCAGGCAAAAAATATGGATAAAGAAACAGCGGGGTCAGAACGGCAGAAGTGTTCGTGATGGCAATAACCCTCCTCCGGTGACATGATGTATTCTCTATAAGTGAAGCATATTGATTAAAAAGACGCTCCCAAGATCGACTTGCTTTTTGAATTATGTCTGTGGAAAAACCCTTCCTACTTTTTGCAACATCTTTCTCGTTTTGTATTCTTAGCGAGAGTACATCGCCTTGGAGCTTCAATGATTGGTCAGCAATCGCTTTATCGTCAGGCAAGTGTCAATCAACAAGAAAGGATGCAAGATTTGGTAGAAGGAAGGTCTGTGATACAATAAGAATTCATTTGTCACTTTACTGACCTGAGGCCGAGTGCACGCTGAATTGATCAAAATAGACAATGTAATGTAAAACTTATGCTTTTCCCTTTTATTTATACATTTATACTTTGCCGGGGTCGGCCATCATATCTCCTTTTAGTATCGTCAGTTCTTGATTGTATTACTGCATTCCATATTTATTTTTCACTGGACGTTTTCTGCTGCTATGTAACATATCCCTTCAGGACGTGGGCGATCTACAATATTAATACTTCATTATAAGGTGTAGTTTTTCAATAAGTCATCGATCAGTATCCATTTAACGCAAACTCATTATCACGGTTACTCATTGATTTCTCTGTCGATTTTGCCTTCAACATATCTTGTGAGTGTCCAATTCTCTAAGCCTATTTTAATCGCTATGTGTTTTTAAAAGTTTCAGCTATCTTTTTCTGGTACTAAATATAAGCACCCTCTTTATTTCCATTCTCTTCAAAACTTCCATGTTAATTACATCGCCAGTTCGTCGCATCCGTCAACTGAAATAGATTTTTTTTTCTAATGGAATTTTCCCCTTTCGTAATAGACACTATAGAGCCGCTAGTTCCGTCTTTTGAATCAGCCACAGCATACGGCTCACAAAACTATTCTAGAATATATTTTTCTTTCACCGGTTATTCCTAGTCCATCCAAGAAGAAATAAACCCACGAGGAGTAGATTCCATTCCGAAATAAATTCCCAGTTTTCTTTATCTGATTTTCTATCAGGATTCTCTCTCATTCTTTATTTCTCTCTCTCTCTCTCTCTCTCTCTCTCTCTCTCTCTCTATCTATCTACCTATATATATATATATATATATATATATATAGTTATTACGAAAACCTTGGTAATCCGTATGGGTAGTCACAAGGTGGATGAAATCCTGAGAGCTCAATGTAAATCCAGAGCTAATAATTTAAACGAAAAACAGTCCAATTTAAGGCTCCATTGTAATAATTTATTTCACCAGAGCTCTTTTAAAGGACGCTGGATCATCAGACATCACTTCCACAAGGTGAAACGAAAAATGAAATGAAAATTCACACTTTTGATGGGTAGTATTAAGTTTATGTAATTTAACAGAGAGGGTAACGAGGAGTTGTATGAGAGACATGTTCGAGTTTAGAGAGGGTTTATTTTAATATTTTTTTCAATCATACTTAGTATTGAGCGAGGAGGGACCAGACATTGACCTATTTAATCGGTTAACTTAACGGAAATGATATATTGACATATATAGTCCACGTGTGTTTCTTATAATATGTACTTTTAGTAGACTGGTTAATGAAATTTGAGCAATGAAAAGGCAACAAAATGATAACAATATTGACAATAAGATTGATACTTTTTTGCTTCAATTTATTCAATAAACCTATAAATTTATATCATCAATCTTATTATCAATATCGTTATACTCTTATTCTTCAAATTTAATTAACAGATCGATTACTTATATATATATATATATATATATATATATATATATATATATATATATATATATATTATAATAAAAAAGAAAGAATAGTAAGATATATAATCCGGTGTTCTTATTGATATTTTTATTTTTACAAAACAGTGATCAATGTAAATTTACAGTGCATAAATATTATAAATTAACTGATCTAAAATATGGTTTCTTTGTTACACAGGAATTACCATGTTTCAAAAACCGAAGCCAAAAACTTCAAATTTTATTATATAATTTCATTAAAAGCATTAATTATGTTTCATCTTCAAGCGAATTTTGAAACAGAACTAATGATTTTAATTAATTATTTAATTTAATTATATAATTAAATTTGAAGTTTTTAGCTTCGGTTTTTGAACATTGTAATTCTTGTGTAGCGAGGAAACTATATTTTAAGTAATTTAATTTATAACATATATATATATATATATATATATATATATATATATATATATATATATATATATATTCGAATTCCAGTCGAATCCATTACAGTCATGTGAGTGCTAATACCCTTGGGGAAAGGTGTGAATCCTCTTCTTCTCCCTCCAGCTATGGGTAAATAGCAGGACAGACTGTGTTCTATAGCCTTGGATGGCAACTGGTCTAGGAGAAAGACAACTCTGAATTCAAAACCTGCGGAGGGTCGTTTGGGGACCTTGTTGCACTTAGTGCACCAGGTCTCTGTATTCGGCCCTTCAAAAAGTGTGGATGGTCCTGCACGAAACCTTCACCACTATAATCAAATCTCATGAACTGTTGTCGGGCTGCCAGTTTTCTGGGAACTGATCTGCTTGACCCTCATACGTCGAATTCGATGAATTATAATTCTTTATCGGGTAGGCTTATTAATATAATTTTTTTTTTCTTCGCGCAGAGACAAGACCCAAAGAGTGTGAGTTCAATACCCGGTAAAGGCAGTGGAGAACTGTCAGTGGAAAATTTACAGGCGATAACTGATAACTGACATCCATCAAACATGGCACGTTGAACTAGAACAGTCTACCCCAGTGAGCGGAATAAAGGGTTAAGTTCGACATTCCAACCACCTGAAGAAGGCCGGAGCGTACAACGGCCGAAACGTTGTAATAAATATGGCGACAAAGATGAGGACAATAGTCCGAATTATGTAAATAATGTATATACGTTAAAATATATAAAAATTAACCCTCACTCGCTCTTTCAATCATTTTATTCAGTAACAATGACAACATATGACCAAAAAACAACAAAAAATTGACATTGAGTAGGAACTTTCGAAATTACCCTTTCCCTGAAATTAGAAACAACTTTTTTGATGTAATCAGGAATCAGAAGCTCATCTACAAATTTGCACTAAGGCACTATGAAAAGTAAGATAATTCCCAAGACCTTCATGTGTACAAAAGTATCTCAATTGGAGCCATTACGGTAAAGGTACTCATGAATATTGTCTTTACAAGGCTTTTATCTTTCTATGATAATCAGTTCCTCACGACTCGGTGTGGCTTTCGCTCCGATAAGGGGGTTGTCATTATGGTATATATGTCATCAAACAACTCCAGCAAAATGCTTGCTTGCTATGAAATCATCACTGTAACATACAGCCACACCAGTAGATAATTCATCTTGTCATCCGCTGTATATTAACTTCGGGAGGGCAAGCAGGAACGTTGTTTTCATAACATTAATTTGGGATATGTTATGGAATGTCTAAGTGCTGAGTATCCATCTCTTCACATCTGTGCTTCTATATGCACAGAGGATAGTCTAGGACAACATTAAATAATTTTGAGCTCTCAGTTTTTGACATGCTGCTGACGTAGGCACAGTTGGAGAAAATGAACTTGATCAGGTAATCAACATCCTCTGCTATGTGTTTCAAGAAGAGGACTCAAGATAAATGTTTCCAAAAAAAAAAAAAAGGAAACTATGATTTGAAATTGTAATGGAAGCAGTCTGAATCCTTAATAAAAAAATTCGTAGTCCGTATTTTGACAGTTCCTCTTGCTGATACACACGTTTTTACCCAAATCCTTTTTATAGTTGATGTTTAATCCTTTCATCTCGCTTTCATTTAATGCTTTATTATTCAGTATTATTTTTTTTTAAATATTAATTGATATCTGTAATAGTTTCAGCTCCTGACCACTGACAATGCTTTTATTTGATAAAAAATGCAACATATGTCAAATCTTGCACAAATAATAATTAGTTCAAAAACTGCAAAATTAGTTGCTGATGCATCAAATGGTTTCCGAGCCGTCTGATATAGTTATAACGAGACCTTTGTAAAATATCTGGAGAGACAGGGGAAACGCTGCCTATTGTAACAGAATGATCAATCTGTTTAAAATCTGTTTGGGGGTAGTACCTTGTATATTCTCTTAAACAGACACCTATCATCAAATTTATATGACTTATTCTGCCTCGGAGATTTCTGAAAATAGTAACTTCCTAATTAATAAAGAAACAAATACTCTATAAATAAAGCATATAAAGAAATAAATAATTCTTTTTGCATAATATTTACATTATTCGGACTATTGACCTCATCTTTGTCACCATATTTATTACAACGTTTCGGTCGTTGTACGCTCCAGCCTTCTTCAGGTGGTTGATATGTCGAACTGAACCCTTTATTTTCCTCACTGGGTTAGACTGTTCTAGTTCCACATCCATGTCTAATGGATGTCAGTTATCAATTATCTCCTGTTAATTCCCCTCTCCAAGTTCTCCACCACCTCAAGCAGGTATTGAACTCACATTCTCTGGGTCCTGTCAATCAATGCCTTTATCTACTATGCCATGTGTCCTTGAGGACATCTGTGTATGAATTTCTGGGTATTATAAACCTGATGTCTTCAGCAATCATTTTACCAATGCTCATATTGCAATTTTTGCTTTTATCAATATGTTTTTACAAGAGCTCATATTGCAATTTTTGTTGTTATTATCGTTTATCTCTGGCACTCCTTGTTACTGGTTCCCATATTGTATTCATTTCTATGCTTGGTCGGCTCAGGAGGTTTTTTTGTGGCCTAGCATATGTGCTGATTGCTTAAGTTACAGAATTTTCCAATGGTGTTCTTTGTCTATGATCTCACCCTGATCCCACAGAGGGCGGTGATCTCCATATGTGATCAGCCACGCCTGATTTTCCCATTTCTCCTCGTGTTACAGCTTTCTGGTGTTCTTGAAGCCTTGCCTTAAGAGGGAGGTCTGTCTTCTCTTTATATTCCTTTCTGCAGCTGCACGGGATAGCGTACACACAGTCTTTAGTCATATTCTCCTCTATGGGCGGGGATCTTACTCGGGAGAGATATCTGCAAAGTGTCGTCTAGCTTTTGAAGGTTGTCCTGGTGTTAATATGAAGAGCAGATCCTTTGTATTTTGTCTGATAACCCCTTCACATACTAACTCTGCTCTTACTGTTTCTGTCATTCGACATACGGAATGAGGCAAAAGTTGAGTAGGGGCTAAGGGAGAAGTCGAAGAGGTCATATTGAGTGGTTAGCGACGTTTTTTTTTTTTTTTCTGTGGGATCATTTGAAATCAGTTGTTTATCAAACACACTGAAAAATATCAAAGAACTTTAAGAAAGAATTAAATATGAATGCAGCAAAATGACAGAAAATACTCCGACGTTTTAGCGAATCATGCAAGCTACAGAAACGAAATGTCTTTAAAAAAAAAAGGATATTTTGAACTGCACATATAATAATTAAATAACCATTAAATAACTTTTTCATTTATTATATTTTTAATCAATTCTTCCTATTGAGCGCGATTTCCAAATGGAAATTAATAAAAAGAATAAAAAGTTTTCGCCTGTACAGTCAAAAGTGACAACGGTAAATAATGCACTAAAAAAAAAAACTACCAATATTTGAACTGAATAGTGATCATAGATTACAGAAACGTAGTTGGTTGCCAAGTGTAAACATATAAATAAATATCTATTTTTTCATATATAAACCAGTTATATTTCTGCTTCGTTGAAGTTATCTTCTTATTCTCTGTTAATAATAGCCATGGCGTTTTTTTTTATTTTATTTTTTTCACGGGCGATTCTGTATATTGTTTTCTTTTGCAGCTTTTTCTGCTTGGGTTAGGTAGGCATAATAGTGTCGTTTCTCTCTCGTCTGAGGATCGCTTCAGTGCGTGAAACTTTAAATCATCATCATGAATTGAGCCTTTTTAAGGCTTGATCGTGATTTTACAAGTATTCGAAGTTCTTTTCTGACATGTAATTTCTAGATTTTTCAACACTTTTGTGTATTGTTATGTTGCCGTAAGTTTTTCAATCGTTTTTCTCTCTCTCTCTCTCTCTCTCTCTCTCCCTCTCTCTCTCTCTCTCTCTCTCTCTCTCTCTCTCCCTCTCTCTCTCTCTCTCTCCCTCTCTCTCTCTGGCTGGTAAAGCCCGGGTTCTTTTGTTGGTGTTGCTTTTGCTTTTCAAGATTTATATTAATTCAAATTAGGCACACACACACACACACACAGATAGATAGATAGATAGATAGATAGATAGATAGATAGATAGATATAAATATCCGACTACAACAAATGCCATTTTGTTGGTACCTTGTTCTAGCAGAAGCTCTGTTTTTGCGTGCGCGTGTATGTGTTTTTAACAGTGTGAATACGTCTCCTGGCATTCGCATTGAAGAAAACTTATGAAGTAAATGTGCTCTCCCGCAATGTTCGAAACTGCGTCCCCCTTTATAGGAGAAACCACCATCTGATCGTTTAGCCACAGAGAGCATCACGGCATAGCAATGTATAATTAAACCTTTAAATGATTCGCATCCGCAATTTCAAATACTCGCAAATTCTCATATCTGGTCATTTTCCTTATTCCAAATATTAACAAATAATATTTAAGAAATCAGTGTTTTGTTTTCATCATAATTTCCTACTAAAAATATATATATATATATATATATATATATATATATATATATATATATATATATGTATGTATGTATGTATGTATGTATGTATGTATACGCATAGAGATATATACATTTATTTAACCAATTGCATATATATATATATATAATTTAAAGAAAGTTTAATTTTGATTTAGAGATTATATATATATATATATATAATCTTTTAAATATATATATATATAATTTAAAAAGAAAGTTTAATTTTGATTTAAAGATTATATATATATATATATAATCTTTAAATCAAAATTAAACTTTCTTTAAATTATATATATATATATATATATATATATATATATATATATATATATATATATATATATATTGTTAAATATAACAGACAATGAATGTCCATTATGTCTGATCATGAGCCGTTCTAGGCTTCGTATATTTGCTTTAATTACGGGTGAAAATAAAGAGCAAAATTATTCAACATTTTATTAAGCTGTATTTTGATCTAAGCTTTTGGCTCACATGAACCATTTTCAGAGTAGTTATGCAGACATTTAAACAAAGATATTCACCATCAAAAATGATATTCTGTTACGTTGTCACAGAAGATTGCTATGCGACGATAACCGTCGCGGAATAGCAGATGCACGTCGTAAATTCATGATGCAGTTCTATAGCCTCGTACCACGTGAGATATATATATATATATATATATATATATATATATATATATATATATATATATATAAAGACATTTTTTATGTTTTATACGTTATTTTATAGATACAAATATTTAAGTAAATGCTCTGTTTATAATAAACAGTATTAACAAAATATACCGGCCTGACATTCAGGCCGGTAAATATCGTTACTCCTGTTTATTATAAACAGAGCATTTATAAATATTTTATCTATAAAAAGAACGTATAAACCTAAAAAAATATCTTAAAATAATTGTCGGACTTTATCCATATATATATATATATATATATATATATATATATATATATATATATATATATATATATATATAAAGACATTTTTATGTTTAACGTTGTTATTTTATAGATACAAGTATTTAAGCAAATGCTCCGTTTATGATAAACAGTATTAAATAACATTTACCGGCCTGAATGTGAAATTTTCATAGAAAATATTCGTTCTTTGAAGGATATTTAATACTGTTTATCATCAGAGCATTTTGTTAAATACTTGTATCTATAAATAACAACGTTAAACATAAAAATGTCTTTAATAAATAAATTGTCGGACCTTGTCCATTTCTTAATATATATATATATTTATATATATATATATATACGTATGTATATATATATATAGTAAGTAGATATGTTGATTTGGCGACCACAACATCATCAAGAAATTTTACACTTCATTTGTAAAGAGATTTAGCTTTTGAAACGAAAAGATCACAAAAGAAAGTCGCTCTTTAGCGAAGAGAGGAGAGTTTTGTTTTTACAGGCACAGGAGTTACTAAACCTTTTTATTTTTCAGTTGACAACACAATCATCTTAGTTTTGTCTATATGAATTGAAAAAAAGAAATTGGACTTTAAAAAAAAATGATAAAAATCTTTAAATATGATATTTTTATATCATTTCAGTTTATATGTTTTCTAATTTTTTTCCAGAAAGAAATCATTCTGTCAAACTATACCTACTTACCAGTAAGCCAGTAAGGTTAATTACAGTAGGCTTTCTCAGATGAATTAATAAAACCACACATATTTTCATGTGAAATTAATTATAATAAATAAACACACAAAAATTATTCATTTTTTTGGTATCGCTTAGGTAAACACAGAACTGTTCAAATTTAATTTATTCAAGAAGAATATTTGACTTCCCAATGTTAAGAATTGCATTCATTTTGTTTGGATAAGCGCTGTATTTTTTTTTTTTTTTTGCATTTTAAATTTAAATCCGCGGTTCAACTTTTAATCCGGAGCTGAATGACCCCCGGAAGATGTCTAAGTTCGTTATGGTGTATTTGCATAGGACGATCAATTACCATGGCAATAATTGAACTATGAAGCCTTTGAATGGAAAGCCGTATCAATTGATAGACAATCGATCACTTTGAGTAAATGACTTGTATTTTGAAACCCTTTAACAGAGCATGATTTTAAAAAGCTTTTTTAATGTTATTTATCTTTGGGGTTTTAAAACATTTTTTTTTATTGAATCATTTTGTTTTTATTATTCGTTTTAATAGTTTTGTGCTATCAATACAAGCTCAGTAATTGTGACAATTGAAAGGGACGTAATAGAAAAGATCGATTTAACACACCCACATCAAGGATTTAAAAAGAAAAATCTTTTTTTTTTCAGTAAAAAAAAAAGAATGATTAAAGAAAGGTGAATAAAAAAATTGAAAGAAATAATGAAAGTATGAAATATTGAAAGGAGAATGAAAAATCCAGACAAGCGAAATCAAACATGAAGGAAAAGAAATTGAAAGAATGAGTGAGTTGAATGAAGAAATTTATGAAGGAATGGACCAATGAATGAATTAGTGACGGTAATAAAAGTAAACAATGAATGAAACGATTCTTTGAAAAAATGAAATGAAAGAAAAACGAAAGATAAATAAGAAAGAAAGCAAAAGAGAGAATGAATTAAAATGAAGAAAATTGAGAAAAGAACAAAAACGTGAAAAAAGAAAGAATTTTAAATGAGTAACATAAAAAGAAAGAAAGAAAGAAAGAATGAAAGAAAGAATGAAAGAAAGAAAGAAAGAATTCAAAATGAATAACAATGAAAGAAAGAAAGAAAGAAAGAACAAAGAAAATGAAAGAAAAAAGAAGGAATTCAAAATGAATCACAAGGAAAAAAGAAAAAATCAAAATTAATAACAAAGAAAAAAGTAATCCAACATAAATAACAAAAAAAGAAAGAAAATATTCAAATGAATCAAAAGGAAAAAGAAAAAAAAATAACAAAGAAAAAAAAAGGAATTTAAAATGAATAACAACGAAAGAAAGAAAAAAGAAAGAAATATTTATCCCTAAATAAATTTTAAAAGAAGAGGAAATGTTACGAAGAAAGAGGAATAATAAAAATAAAGAAAAATGAAAATAAAAAAAAAATGAATGATTGAACGAATTCAAGAAATAAATGAGAAATTAGCGAATCGGAATTATCCAAAAAGAAACGAAAAATAAAAGAAATGTTAATCAAATAATTAGATAATAAATGGCAAAAAAAAAAAGAATGAAGAATGGCTTCCTTGCTGTCAAGTGTTTTTGTATGAAGGATGGGACAGAAAATGGATTTAAATCCGCCTCATCCAGAACGCTTTTGTAAAATATATATAAAGATATATGAAACATTATCGCGAAACACATGGGAATTGATATTTCAAAATTCGGGAAAGTAAACTGTTTCTCATATTGCATAGTTTAGAAAATTGTCTGAAATACAAAATTAAGGAAATCTATATAAACTTCGAAAAACAATATCTCAGAATTTGAATCAAATATCGAATGACCGGGAAGAAGCCTTTCCTTTGACCTGAAATCGATGTCGCTGCTCTATCTTCATATGATCTGAAAGATTATCAATAGATTTACAAATCGAGCACTGATCCCATTATGTTGGTCATGACTAATCGATTAAATATGGACGATACAATGAAAATACTTTGTTTATATATAAGACTGGAATATATCAACTAATTGGCATAAGACGATTGCATGATTGAGGTTTTATATGTAAAGTGGGTGACATTCGAAAGCCTGACTCTACTAATTATTATTATTTGTTTAATTGGCTTTCTTCTCTTTAGTATAGCTAGATTAGTGCAGCCTTTTAACAAACATCCCAGAAAGGAGCGAGGTGTGAAATTCAAAGTGTCGGCCTTTCATAAATAGTCCGGTTCGCTATTTGGATCCAACCTGCCGAACTCGCATAAAAATTGTAAATGTCCCCGAAAAATATTTCCACATGAAAAGTGCCCCATATTCTCTTGGCGTCAGTTTAAACTAGTTTTTTCTTTCTTTCTTTTTTCCATATTTTTTTATCATTTGGCGTTGGGTTTGCATTTGTTTTAATTTCAGATGAAAACTTGGGGATTTCCGAAAATATTTACGTGATATTTTAACTCATCAAACGTATACTTTATAAATTACAGTTTCGATATGTGAAACGGAAAAAGAGCATCCTGAAAATGAATATCCTTCTGGTGTCATTTCAAATTGACACATTTTTAAATATATTGAGACTATTTTGTTCGTATGTTTTTTTGTTTCCAGATGAAAACTTGGAAATTTGATACATATTTCAATGGAATCTTCAATTTCCGAAATTATAATTTATAATTATAGTCCAGATATTTGAAAAAGTGAACGTGTCCGTTTAAACTGACGCCAGGAAGACAGAGTTTAAAATACAAAACCGTGATTGTGCAATTATTAAAGATAATGGATATTACTAATAGGAAAATTTCAACACTTTCTTCTTTGTTTATCAACTATTGATTATTGCATAGAAAACAATTATTTTATATTTAAGCGAGTAATCAAGTTGTATTGGCGATACAACCCTTTAACCTTTAATACATAATTAGTTTTTATTTAAAAAAATTAAAATCTTCAGTATGAGGAAAGAACCATTTAAAAATTCAATCATAATTATTATACCTAAAA